GAAGCAGATTACGTGCTTTGAATTTTAAACTGATAAATGTCTTATCTGTAACTACAGATTCTGAGATAGATTCTGATTTTGAATTAAGATCAGTTTATAAAAGGTTGCTGCACGAGGAATCTACTGGGGGACTGCAATTCTGATAAAGTGCGGAGTGCACAAGTTGAAGAGATATAGCGTTCATCGATTTTGTTCTTTGAGAGAAGATTTTGTGAGCTTTCGGGAGAAGGCGTTTGAAGACGAGTGGTGCTCGCCAAGCTAGCCACTTAGGGTGTTAGACACAGCGGCGTCGATAGTCAAGAGGGAGTCTTGAGTTGGTTAAGTCCGATTGGTGTCTGTAACTTTTTACCTATTAGTGGATTGCTTGATGCCTGGGCGTGGCCCCGTGGATGTAGGTCGGTTTGACTGAATCACGTTTAATCATTGTGTGGTATTTACTATGCTTTTGTGTTTTGCTTTGTTAATCCTTAATCATTTTATAAGAAAACACGGTAAAAGCATACAACCGGTTCTAACAATTGGTATCAGAGCGGGTCACAAACTACTGTGTTTGTGAGATGGTTGATGCTCGTCTGAAGCAATGTATTCGCTGCGTGAAGGAGGTTCCGTGTCAAAGCCACCACTCTTGGATGAATCCAATTATTCGTATTGGAAGGCCAGAATGAGAGCTTTCATTAAAGCTATTGATAAATGAGCTTGGAGGTCGATATTGATAGGATGGACGCATCCGACAACAACAGATAACAACGGCAATGTCACTTTGAAACTAGAAGAGACGTGGTCAACAGATGAAGATCGCCTAGCGAATTACAACTCGAAAGCACTCAATGCTGTTTTTAATGCTGTAGATGTGAATCAGTTCAAATTGATTTCTACATGTGAATCGGCCAAAGAGGTGTGGGAGATACTTCAAATTGCTCATGAAGGCACAGCTGCTGTGAAGGTCTCTAAACTTCAAATCCTTACCACCAGGTTTGAAGAATTAAAAATGCATGAGGATGAGTGCATTGCCAATTTTAATTCAAAATTGTGTGACATTGCTAATG